CAGAAACCTCTTGTTCGGAAAAATATTTTGACTGGAGAAAAATGAAGCAGAAGTGGTAGCTCTTTCATTGCATTTTCTTCATGCTATCCTAAGAATTTAATCCAAGTATCATATCAGAAGAAGTCTAACTACTAAGATGCAAAATTGATGTATGTGTTTGTCCTCCTTGATTGTCAAGTAAATATCTTCATAATGAATTTGATGATAATAAAAAAGTCAATTTGATGATATTTTGGCTACATATATCTTGAAAAAATGTGAACTCAATTATGCAAATTGACGGAACAAATGCATTAGTAACATACTTTTACCTTCTTCATACAATTGAATGCTTGTGTAACATAATATATCGTGTGGATGTGTAGAATCCTTATGAAACTATTGATTTCTACATTTGAGGTATGGAATTTTCTTTGTATTCTGAATATGGCAACCCTCCCCAAAAAAAAAAAAAAAAAAAAAAAAAAAATACAAAATCCCCCAAAAAAAAAAAAAAAAAAAAAAAAAAAAAAACTTACGGAAATCTAAAATACTTAAAAGTGTTCATTACCAAATTAGAGTTTGGTGCATAGTTGTTAAATAGTTGCTACAACTTGTACTTATTGAAGGATATTTCTCCACAGTGAGTCTCAATCACACTTTTCTTTATAATAATAGAAGCCTTTCCTAGTTGCAGTTAGATGTAATTAGGTAATTCACACAGATCATTACTTGACTTCATATACTCTTAGGATTTCAAGACTCGCAGTTTTAAAAGTACATTTTTCTTCCTTTAGCCATTCATATGTAATTTTTCAGTGTGCACTTGTAGCTTTCATTTGTGAATGTTGAGGATCTGATATATAGAATTTCAAAATATGAGTTAATTTCTGTAAGCTTTCTACTACTCTTAGCTTGATAAATTCTGCTCTGCTTTCAATTGGTAATTGTCTGTTGGACGAAATCGTCTAAGAAAAAAAAAAGCATGCTAAAGTACACTTGCGCAGGAAAACTGACCTTTCCAGGGTTCTCACTCATGCAATGAAAGAGAAAAATTTCACATTTTTTTGTTGTTTTTTCGTGTAACATTCGTCAAATTTTGAAATGTGGATAAAGAGGAGTGCTGATGTTTTTATTAAACACCGTAGTATAGTTTTCACTGACTTAAAAGTGCAAGTGTATTTTTGTGTCAGAATGACTTTGCCTGCATAATTTACTTCTCTGCTGCTTTATTTTGGAGTCAAACATAAACTTGATTTCTAGTGACTTGGCTTGTTGTCAATTTTTCTATTAATTTCATCTCTTTCCCCTTTTTGGATCTTGTCATGGCTTTTTACCCTCTTGTGATTTATTCTTGATATTTAACTTATTGAGAACATGTTTGGCAAAGCTTTTATAGATTATAAGCTGTGCATCCTAATGCTTGGATGATAAGGGGGTAAAAGTAGGAAAAAATCGTGGGTCCTATGAATATGTGGATAAAAATAGAGTTTGATCAGCGTATAACAATAATAAGCTTTGACAAACATGCTATTAATCCACATGATTGTAGTTTACCCTTTGTGTTCCCTTCTGCCCTCTGCTTTTTTGTACTTCTGTTTATAGGCAAAATCTGTATTTGTTATAACAAAACCATCAGATTGCAATAATTCTGTATTTCATTCTTTTTCAGTGCCAAAAACATCACATTGTGGGGTTACCTGATGGAGGAACTGCCAAACCCCAGTCCGACCCTCAATTGAATATTGTCAGCCACGTGGAAAATTTTACTACAATCAAAAGTGAGACGCAATTCAATGCTGAATCAAAATTGCAGGATAACGCCAACTTAATGATGGATGAAGCAAGCAATTATGTCCCCTGCATTTTAGATGTTGATATTGAGACAGGAAAGCCACACAACCCTATAATCTATGACGAATCTGTTGAAATTTTGAAGACTGATGATTCCTTAGTAGTAAGTTCTCTGCCCAAGAGACTCGACTTTTATTTCTTTAGAGTCCATATAAAATACTAAAAATCAGAGTCATATTCAGTGTCCTTGTCATGCAATCTTTGGTCAATTATGCAATTGAAAAGGATTATTTATTGCTGTGCAGAGGGCATTGCAGAGAGAGATTAACCTACAAATAGGAGGAAAATTCATGCAGCTCTTAATGAACCATAGCCCTGATATACCCAAGTTCGCTTCAAGAGGTAATTATCTTGCTTCACAACCTTTTGACCTTTGTGTCTTTAGTGAACTGTTGAATTGTGTGTGAACCTTTTTATCCCTTCCTAAATTTTTATTGGCATGCCGCTATTTTTTATTTTATTTATTTCCCTTCCCTTTTGCAGCACTCTCCTTAACTAATAGTCAAATGTAACTAACCTAATTTATAGTTAGTTAAAAGAAATCGAACATGATCATACTATGGTACGGATTAAACAAATCATAATCCAAATTTCAGTTGTGGATATCTAGTATCTCTTGGTGCACACAAAATCGTGAGTGATGGCCAACTACATTCACACGTGAAACTTCTTCTTCCTGCAACTATTTAGCTTCTCCATATTCTAGACTCCAAGTTTGGCATAAAAGAAAGGCTTATGTATAATTAAACCATCTATAATACTTCCCAAATGGATTTCAAGTGGTTCAACATGGTATCAGACTTGCAAAGGTCTCAAGTTTCATCGCCGCCCATTTAAATGAATGATTGTTCATGTGTAAGACTTTTAATGGGAAAATGAGCCCCCCTACTCATGCGGGGATGTGTTGAAGATAATATTTAAATGATATATATGTACTCCTCTTAAGAGCTTACATTTTTAGATCAAGGGGTTCAACAGCGTGACATCTACCAAATATTAGACGAGTGGTTATATATTCCCTTGTACATATGCAGCCTTTTATCATCCTTGGAGGTCATTACTAGCAAAACTGTTGCAAACCATGGTTAGCCAATAGGACTGAGTCGTTTATGAGAACAATACTTTTTCACATTACACTTTTTTTCACATTTCTTTTCTTATGACTTGAAATAGAGCTAATTCCATACATTTTGCAAGTTCAATATTTTTGCTGCGAATAAAATTTACTTGCTTACAAACTTTTTTTATATTGTGAAGCAGATAAATATCTGATTGATAGAGTCTATGATACGCCTACTAACAGATCAAGGAAATATAAACGATCCGTCTCCTTCAATTCAAGAAGAGTAGTTCTCCTGTTCTCTATCTTGTAAGCATATTATCTTTCACATACTTGATAAAATAAGTTATTTTATTGCTCTTTTTTCAAATTTGATAATTATTTAAAATTAAGATCATTTAAGTATAATATAATTAAATTGAACAAAGATGAATAAAACTTCCAGTCACTATAACTTTTTAAATCATTCTTTCTCATTACAATAATTAAGAAAAACAACCTGGCATGTAGTTGTACAAATTCTTGAAAAAGGATCATGTAGTCGACCCTAAATTTATTTTGAACAAGTGCTAATTAATTTATATTTTATTTGCAGGTCTAGTATTGGATCGATAATCCTAATATACCTGACACTGAGAGTGAGGCAGATTGGCGACACATCTGGTAGTCTTTAGCTTTTTTTGTTACAATCTTTTGTGAAAGAGTCTTGTTAGGAAGTATTTGGCTTTGCTCTTCGCCTCTTCCTCTTTTGCTTTTGTTTCTCTGATGTAGGTTTTTCATCGATGTACATAATTTGAGAATTTGGAAGTATATACATTAGCTGTTTCAATTGATCTTTGTATACGAGTTTCCTGTTTCCTTGTCATTGCTGTACATTTGTTTCTTAAGGGTTATTTTTACAGCAAATCCTCTTTGCTTACACGAGATTTTTAGGCCTCAACCCAAATAGAAATGGGGATTTGGTATTGTCCCTTACCTCTACACATGAGATGGGAACATCTAACCTTACCTCAAGAAGTACAATTTAAGGCGTTTGAGTACCCCTAATAAATTTTTTCAACATACAAACTTGAACAGGAACCTTGTTACACTTACAGAATATGGTTCACAGAATTAGTACAGGTGGATCAAGGGTGGACCAATTGTTTTGGGTTGTGGGGTCAATAATTAGAATCGTGCTACAGTGTCCACATGAATGACCGCGGGGTTGACACAACACACACACGAGGTCGGGATTATTTTATTCATAGTGACCCCGCTGGACATGTGAGGGCATGGTCACTTGCGAGTTCATCCTCACGGGTTGTGCTTAGCTGCAAAAATTAATGTGTAATTTTTTTAAAATAATATAATATTTATAAAAATAAGTTAATACGTATTTTGACATCTTAAAAGTGTCTTATAATTCTATTATTATCAATATTGTTAAATGAATTTTGCAATATGTATAGTTTTATTTACCATGTCATTTATAGATATTGAGCTAACGACGAGTAAATCAAATTGGATGTAAGAAGTAAATGAAATTTAAGTTTAAAAAAAATAATAATTTGAAAGTAATTCAAATTACATTTAATCCGTAACGATTTTAGAATTTTTGACATTATATTTAATGTAAAATTTCCTAATAAAATGATGTAAATTATATTGGAAAATTTATCGTAAAAAAATAAACGTTAATGAAATAATTGATTTTTTTTTTTTAAAAAGACGAGTTAAACGCCTCTTTTTAATACGTACGTTTGACGCATATTTAACTATTTTCGATATTTGTTGGGACCATTCAATATAACTACGATGTAGTTTTCATAACGAACTTCTAAATAATGTAAGGATTTATAGATTTGGATAGTATATGATCATTGACAAATTTTAAAAATTAGCATATTATCAAAATTATATTAAAAATGTAATATTTCGATTTCATTTGGTATGTATTAAAGAGGGTCGAAAACGGGTTAAAACAACCATTTTCTGAAGGGAAAAAAAAAAACCAAAATTTTGTGGGGTCATCTGACCCATGTGGGTCTGCCCCTGAGGTGGACTACTTGGCAAAATCAGGTTGAAAGATGGGGAAAAAAATAAAGAACAAAAAAATTAAACCACATTTGTGAAACAAAACCTGTACACTAAGCATTTTTCACTTGAACGTTCAAGACACAAATCTCTCGCTTCATTTAAGATTGTTATATATACACTAAACAAGGTCGACACTTCTAAAGAAAAGAGACATGTAACTAATTTGGTTATTATATTTGTATGTATATATTTTTTTATAATTGATCAGCTAGCCACGCCCTGCTGTAGTGCCCAGAGAATCAGGCTTGCTTCAAGGAAGGGACTGGGGCTAACGAAGTCCTTACTCCTATTCTACCAACTACTCGGGAGAGGAGAATAGTACTGCCTTGAGGCTAAGAGTTTCCAACTGTTATCAAAGTAGTATTGCGAGAAAAAATGTGATAAGAATCCCCATCGAGGATTGAAATAGAATGAGTCGACAACTCAAAATCCACTCCCTTTATATAGCATTCGTCTTAAATACAAGCAAATGAAACTTTTAAAAAACTTTATAAATTGAATAAAGGAACAAATCTCTCGTTCATAGAATTCAAACAAAAATGAATAAGTACACTAACGAAAAAACACTACTTTATAGAATCTTTCTTCCTCTTACTGCTGCAACCATATACTCAATGAGAATAGCTATACAAGGCAATTAGCTTGACACATTAAGTTTTGGGTAATTTCAACCTTTTTTCGTCCCCTTCGTTCTTCTTAAGTACAATCTCTAGCACGCGCAGCCACCTCCTTGTTGCTCCGTCTGGGATGTATTTGTAGATGGCTTCAAATTCACATCGACCATATCTTCCTGTTTCGTTGAGGAAAGAGTTTCCATTCCTGGCAAAGCCGCAGCTATTTTCCTGAACAAAGGCTGAAATAGCTCTTTCTTAAGGATGCGGAAGTAGAAAAATCATAACTTATAAACACAGTTACACAATGAGATCAAAGAGGTATAATTACCTTTATATTAAAACCAGCTTTAGCACTTGTTTCTATAAACATGATGCCAAATTCACGTGCCTTTGAATCTCCTTCTTCAATCGAAACTTGCCTGTTTATGCAGAACAATACTTGAGATCAATTCTGGAAAACTATTTATTAGTATTGAAGTTTCTCGACTAGATGATTCTAATGATCATTTGATGCTAAAAAGCATAAAAACAGAGGCCCAAAAGACTCACCCCAGCAGCTAAAACCAGAAAAATTGAATCACAATCTATATTTTTTTCCCTCACCTCTTATCAACAAGATCAGTTTTATTCCCTACGAGAACAACAATGACATCGCTCCCTCGTTCCGTATGTACTTCCTCTATCCACTTTGAAGTGTTCAGAAATGACTGTCGATCTGCGAAGGTTCACTACTCTATAAGAACTAAAATAACATTATATTACAAGCAAAATAAGAAGTGAAATTAAAATGAAGTTCATAGAGAAGATCACCAGAAAACTTGAGGAAAAAAAGACTAAAAATATAGCATTGTGAACTTGTGAAAGGAAACTCCCTGGGCTATTACTTACTAGCAACATCGTACACAATCACTGCCACAGAAGAATCCCTAATGTAGCTTGGAATAAGACTCCTAAATCTCTCTTGACCAGCAGTATCCCTGTGACCACAAAAAGTTTGTTTCGATACACGTAAAATATGGATATGAAGTGATGCAATGTACAAAATAAAACAAAAATGTGATCGTGATTCGTGAGCCAATATCGGTAAACTGGAAAAAGTTATAAAGTCCTGAACTAAAACAAGGTAAAAGAAGAAGTCATTTGAGTAAATGCACAGTGGACACATTTTTTCGGACCACAATTAAACTGCTGGACCACCTCATGCTTAAATCTGACAGTTTATCGTCTGATAAGTTAACGAAACCAATTTTCATCACTTCAACATTTGATAACATAATGTTCAAATGACAATTCTATAATCCAGAGCCAAAAAGGCAAGAAAAGAACATGAAATCAAAAAATGCATAAAGTCATGCTATCTTGAGCAAATCTAAAATGAAGAATGAATTACCAAAGCTGCAAGCGAACTGTTCGATCTTCAAGGTACATTGTTTTTGACAAGAAATCAATGCCAATAGTAGCCTGCATATGAAATTACAAAATTCAGACTGAGTTTGACGGAATCATCATCATATCATCAGCCATTTATCGAAAAAAAATCAACATTTTAAAGTTCAAAAGTCTAAATTTCGTCATTTTCACATAGATTAGAACTTTTTGATCAAAATCATTTAACCCGTTGTTTTTTACTTATGATCCCATCCTTTCAAAAGAAGAGACCAATTTCAAAACTCAAGGCAGTTCTTTGAGGCTGAGTCTTACTCCAATTTTCCTATGTGCACTAAATGCAATTGAAGTTCTTCAGGTTGAATAATTAAGCAAATCATAAAATCCAGAAATTAAAAGAAAATTAAATTGATGAACAATTGAAAACCTATATCATCAAAGAAAAAAAATTTAAGGTGCAGAATAAACACAGATTGATAGTAAAAGAATATGAAATTAAAAAGACCAAATTACCTCAGAACTAGAACGTGGGCGTGATCGTCTCCATTTACAATTAAAAACTAATTCAGTTTAAAATTAAATGCAACAGTAAAACCGATATCTAATTAACGACACTTTCCCCGTTAAACATCTTTAACAATTGAGAATCATATTGACAACCAAAATCACGATTTTTATTCGTATACATGCAAATTCAGATCGTAAAACATAAATCCAATAAAGATCGAAGCAAACCTGATAAGTGGTGTCGAATTTATCATACATAAAACGGGTAATGATGCTTGTTTTTCCGACCGATTGATCGCCGAGAAACACCAATTTGTACTTGGCTAAAGGCGACACCACTGCCATCCTGTATCTATAATTGGAATTATATAGTTTAATTCGCTACAATCATATATGCGTGTATGAATTTGTTCAGTTGTTTTCCGATTTTCGATAAATGGGATGAACAGATCTGATCAGATCCGGATGTGAAACAGGAAGAAAGAAAATTAAGGAAGAAGAATGAGATTTCGTGAATTTATGGAAATTGTGAGCGTGCGATGGAGAGGGTCATGCCATGCACTAATCAAGTAATCTAATCAATTCATTTGGGGGATGAAACCGCCAAGTCAAAGTCAAATTCCTCCGTTTCTACTTCAGGCAAATTGCACGGGAGTCCCTCTATTCTTAGAGAGATGAAATGAAAGACTCTTTTTGTCAAAATTATGTGAAAAGGTCGACGAAAATGAGTTGTACTCGTAAGGCGAAGAGAGTTCATCATTAAGATAATTCTCCTATTCTATTAGATGATCAAGTCTGAGAGCACTCGAGACCTTAGTTATCTAGTTCTATCCTTCGATTACTTGAGAATGGAGAGAATACTTATTCTCTTATTCAATTTTTTTGGGGTTTACTAAGAGTTAGTTTGGGAGCGATTATATGAAATGAAAGATGAATTATTATTATTATTATTTTTTGGATATCACATGATTCTGAAGTAGGAAATTGGGTCCACATGTAACATTATTTCATTGAATGAATGTGTGATAGAAAATAAGTTGGAAGAAAAATGATTTTCGAAAAAGCCGTGACAATCAAACCCTAATTCTCTCTCGGTTGACTTCCAAATCTTCGACTCGTCAGGTTAACCTTCATCTTTTCGTGCTCAAAGTATGATTGATGTATTAATCTTCATTGTACGGTTTGACTCAAATTAAGAATTCATAAGTCATGACGATATTATTTTCATTTCTCTCAATATGTAATTCTTTCAAATAAAAGGTCTCTGATTCATGGAGTAGCCAAAACTATTACCATGTATGAACTCGTTGGTACAGGTGAATTATGAATATTATATATCACTACTATATAAAAAAGGCAATGTCTCGATACTGTAGAAAAAAAGTAGATTCTTCCATTTTTACACACTCTAGCAACTTTTTTTTTTTGGAGCAAAACCGACGCCGTCCGCCTGCTCTTCCATTTTCAGACAGTAGCAATTTTTTTATTTTTAATTACAATGATGCATCCATTTGTCTTCAGTTTAGGTAGATTTTTCGTTCTTCTTCTCCATTTTCGCACACTACTGTCTAACTCCTTTTTCTTTTTAAGTTTCATTGGTTCCTTTCTTTTCTCCATGTATGTATACTATTTCAGTTCCTATTATATTTGGGATATCTGTATTTTGTGCTTCAATTATTGCGCTTATATTGTATTTGTTATCTTTGTTTGTTTGATCGTTGACGCATGTTTTTTTTCTCTTACTAGATAAAATAAAGTTATTTCTGCTGGCCTTATTTTAGTTTGCAGGTAGTGGTGGAGAATGTTTTCAACTTCTCTTTAGTTCGTGGTAGCAGTAATATCTAAAGGTTTTTCCTGCGATGATTAATGGAGGGAAAATCTACTTTCATATGATTTGATTTTTCATTTTTCTTGTATAGTGTTGAACTTCGATGCTGGTGTTGATTTGTTGTACACAAACTCTGGAGTGAATTAGGATTTTTTGTTGTATATTTTGTATGGATTTTTTATTGAAATTGAAATTTGTGGAGTTCTGCAGCTCAATTTCATTTAACGGAGCTTGATTGATTTTTTTCCTTACATTTTGTGTGAATTGGTTTCATTTCGAATTTTTGCTGTTAATATTTTCTTCTTCTTTTTTTTTTCTTTTTTTTTTGGTATGTAATGAATCCATATCAAAATATAAAAAAATAAAATGAAATATATGCTTATGGTGGTTTCTATATAAAAGTGAATATAAAAATAAATATTTTGGTGGAACAATGTATCTATTTGCGTAATGTGTGTGCGAATTTCTTATGAATATTTTATTTCAATTAAGGAGTTTCAATGAAGGAATGGTGTTGTATTGTTCAATTTTAGATATTTGGGAATCATTAAAATGTGGATGGAATGGATTGGTAAATAAGAGAGTAAATAGAATTGGGCGTGGAAATAGCAGAATAGATTAACATGGATTAACATGAAAATAAAATATTTTCCGTGTATATAAATTCATTTAGAAGAAAGTAAAGAGGTCTCATAGACGTGTCAAACTTCCACCAATATGGTCTTTTTTGTAGACGATGAACTTTGGGGGTTCACTGTTCAAAAGTTCGAAAACACATGTATCGTCCATTTGTAGTTCTTTTTCTCTAAAAAAATCTACCCAATCTATAGTCATACATCTTATTAGACCATTTGGTCGCAAATTTGTGGTGAGCTCCTAGTTGTGATGTAAAGAATCGTGAATTTGAACACTTCGCATATCTCTTGGTAGGTAATATCAAGAGAACCATCCTAGTATACACTGAAAAATCATGAATGAATAAATTATTGATCTTTGAATCAAATTTATGCGGAAGAGATGAATGTAAAATGAGCTATTAAAGATGACACCTACAATTTCCTGATGGCTGTTGTGATGAGGTGTTAGTGTTATTTCAAATGCAGGGTTATCTGTATGTGAAACGTTGTATTCTTCGGGAATATCGGAGTCATATGTGACCTCTAATCCAGAATGGTCAAATATGGTATTGAATGTGGAGTTTCCGTTATATTCAAATACCAAAACATGAGCATCCTATAAGTTATGATAGTCAAAAAATTGTTCCCATCCATCGACAAAATATATTCTTCCATTATCTCTTTCCAATCGTATTATGACAATTATACCATCATATGCAGTTACTTGTACTGTGTCACCAAGTTGGTGTCTCCAATCGTTAACAAAGGATTTGGGAAGCATCTATACATATACATTAAAAAGTATAAGAGAGATATTAAGAATGCATCCATTCAAATGTGAGAGGAGAAACTGTCGTGTGACTAACCAGATGGGTATTATGATTTTGTGGAGGAGTAATGATTCTGAAGAAACGATGTGGCACCTCCATTCTGTCTCGATATAGTACAATGAGAATTTTGTTAAAATAACTATATTATTTACATTGTGGAGGCCCTAATATATATTTTAAGGTAGATTTTGCAGTATAGGCGAGTTAGAAAGTTTGTTAATGGAAGTTCCATGTCTATAAAATAAACTTTGTAAGTGATTTAAAAAAGAAAATATTCTATGTCGTTGTAGAAGAATATCGTGAAGTTTGGTAAGAAATTCATGATTTGTGTTCGATTTTTAATAGAAGAATTGAAGATTGACATTTAGTCTATCTCAATAAACAAGATGTAAGTTAAAACTGCAAAATTTAATGTTGAAAAAATAGCTATGGTAATCAAGAAAGAGTAGATAAATACCTGATTTTCTTTTTGTTGAGCACCTGCAAGCAAATATATGTAAATATTTTATGTGAGAAGTGATTTAAGGTAAATTTTGAAAACATGAAAAGCTATTTAAATTAAAGGATATGTACTTCCTCTATTTTTTCCTTTTCTCCAAGTTTGACAAGAGGTTCATGGGTTGTAGAAATGGATAATATGTTACCGAAAAAGCTTGATCTTACTCTTCCCAAAAAAAAAAGAGGAGAAAAAAATTATTGAAATATTACGTGAGTGACTATTTTATCTTAACACGTTTCACACATTATTTGATTGCACTCAAAAGGTTACGATTGGAGATGTGATTAATATGTAATATGTCTATTATTTATCTATATTTCTACTCATTTGAAGGATTTATATAATATTTCTATATATAAAAAATGATTTATATTTTATGTATTTATTTTAAGAATCACATATATTAAAAAACTAAATTGATTAAATGAAATTAAATTTTGATGCTGAGAGTCGGTAAAGGAAAAAGAAAAGGGAAAAAAAATGAAATTTGTTAGCCTTCGTAATTACTACGGAGGCTCAATGTGAGCCTCCATAATTACGGAGGTAGTTTGGTGCCTCCGTAATTATGGAGGCTCAATCAAAGTTGAGCCTCCGTAATTACTACGGAGACACTATTTTTTTCCTCCCTCTTTTTCTCTTAGCTGTTATTACAACAAATAGTTCAATATTTTTTTTTTGTTTTGTTGAACATAATTTTATATGAAGTTATATTTTAGTTTAAACATGAGTTTCTTATTTTGTATGAAATTTAACCAATAGTCGGACTTTCTTAACGTTATTTTTAAAATTTTGCAATTTCTATTTATGTGATGATAAAAATTTATAATATATAATATAGAAATAGAAAAATGAATAAGTATATTTAGTTCTTTTTTTTTTATTCTTACAACTATAGTACTTAGGTGAGTATAATTTATTCCCCTGTCTATGTCATTTTCATTTTACCCTTTGAACGAAAAACGTCGTTGTTTTCCTTTCGTTCGTGCAAGCACCTTGTCTTTGTCTTTATTTTAATCATTGTCCTTATTTTCATCGTATCTTTTCCATTCCTTTCATCCTTCTGTTTTCTCCCTGTCTTCAATTGCGTGTATATCTTGTTCAGCGATAGACCTATTGTTGTTGATGGATTTCATTTTTTTCCGATATATTTCCTATTGTTCGGGTCATGAAAGTGTATGCATTTTTTTGGCTTCTTTTGTATGAGGATATTGTTTTCTCTTAGTTATGTTTCCAATTTTATTGAGTTGATTTTTGTGGTTTCTTTCTTTCAGCAATACAATGAGTAAGCAATATTGGACGCCTACATCTGCACAACTTCAAGTTCTTGAGTCTATATTTAATCAAGAGAATAAAACCCTAAACAAGTTAAGGATCATGCAGATAGTCTCCGAACTATCGCTGCATGGAGAAATCTCTGATATGAATGTTTATAATTGGTTTAAGAGCAAACGTGCTCGTTTAAGAAGGCTGAACTTATCCACACAATCACACGATTCTGAACTTGTAATTCAGCCAAGGGTACAAAAAGACAAATTGTATAAGAGACATATAGGTATGATTTATTGTTAAAATGTGATTTCTTGTTGGTTTAATGTTTTTTACGTAATTTTAATATAAATATTTAGTATTATAGAAGTATCTACAAGTTCTATACATATGCCAGAAAGAAGGATGAGATGTTGTCCTAAATTCACAGCAGGTTTCGTAGATTGAATATATTTTTTTATAATTTTTTTTTTGCATCCAGCTATTTATTTAGTCATGTTGTAGTACACTTCCTTTCATCTTGTTTTTGTAAAATTATTTTTTAATCCAATTTTTGCACTTCTGTTGTCTTTCAGCGATCTTATACTAATTTTATGATTGTAGATTCTATTGATCAGTATGTCGAATTACAGAAGGATCTTCATGTTGATGAAAGCATTGACATGAAAAAGCAATTTGAAAATGACAATATGCAATCTCAATGTGGTTCACATGTTCCTATCATTTTAGATCGTTCTAAGAAAATTGATATACAAAATATTCCAGTTGAACCTTATATTCTTCCGTCTTGTACAATTTGTAAACATTGTGGTGCAAAAAAGTTTTACAAAGAAACTAAGAGTTTTTGTTGTTGTGATGGAAAAGTTAAATTACAGCTGAACAGTGTTCCCCCATAATTGTATGAGTTATTTACTTCTACTTCATGTGAAGCGATTGCTTTTAAAAAAGTTTTTCGTACTTACAACAACCATTTTTATTCACTTTATTTGATGTTAAATATGATAAAAATTTGTGCAAAAATAATAGAGGTGTATATACGTTCAAAGTTCAGGGACAGGTATACCATTTTATAAATCCACTTCTACCAATTGATGGAAATCCTACGTATTTGCAATTATACTTTTACGATACTTATAATGAAATTAGTAATAGACTACAAAATTTCAGATAGGTTAAGTGAATCAACTTTGAAAAAGTTAATAGATATCTTAAAGATAAATCCATATTGTCGTTTCTTTCGATCATTAAGTGAAGTTTCTGATTTTGATTCATGCTGTATCGTGTTGAGGTCTGATCCGGATCTCGACCGGAGAGTGTATAACATGTCATCATGTGAACAGGTGGCTGCAGTGTGGGTTGATGAGAATCCATCTGCAAGCATAAAGACTCGTGATAAATTAATTTATGGGCATTCCAATATTGCACATAGAGTAAATTACTACTATAACTGTTATGATCCACTTCAATATCAATTAATTTTTACCTATGGAGAACCTGGATGGCATGAAGGTATTGAAAAGGTAAATTTGAATACTTCAATAATCCATAAAGATTTCATACAAATCAATCACATTGATTCGGCCGAACAACTTATAAATATGGAAAATCGTGGTAATTTTTATTACTATTGAAGTTTTTTAATCTTTTTAGAGTGCATAAATGTATTCTCATTTCTAGATCCGTCTTTGTGACTTTAAGTTTTTTTCCTTTCAGCTATGAAGAGAGGTAAGAAACAAATTACTGTGTCATGCCGTGAATATTATTGCTACAAACTTCAAATCAGACTTTCAGATAAGTCTGTATTCCTTCATACAGGCAGACTTCTACAATAATATATAATGGATATGCATGTTAAGATTGAAATTGCGAGATTAGATTATTTTCGTAATAATCAAAAGACTATGCGATGTGAACTTTACCAAGGAATTTTAGATAGTATACAAAATGGTGAAAATAGAGACTATAAAATTGACAAATCAATTGTGTTGCTTACAGGGTTTATTGGGGGTCTTAGAAATTTAACTAAAAGATATATGAATGCAATGTGTTTAGTTCAAAGATATGGAAAACTTGATGTATTTTTAACAATGACATGCAATCCAAATTGGCCTGAAATTAAACAAGAATTGAGGCACAATGATAGTATACAAAATATGCCAAATTTGTTAGCCCTAATATTTCGAGCAAAATTTGAAGAACTAAAAATAGATTTAATAAAGAGAGAAATTCTAGGGTCTATAGCTGCCTATGTGTATGTAATTGAATTCCAAAAAAGAGGTCTACCTCATGTTCATTTTCTTCTGATATTTAAAACGAATTTTAAGATTACTAATTCTATGCAAGTTGACGAAATTGTTTCTTGTGAAATACTAGATCCAAAGAGAAATCCTCACCTGCATGCTACTGTGGTCAAACACATGATGCATGGTCATTGTGGACAATTAAATCCTACAAATATGTGCATGAAAAATAACCATACTTGTAAAAACAAATATTCAAGAGAATACATTTTGCATACTTCATTAGGTAGTGATTCATATCCACTTTATAGGCGTCGTGACGATGGTGTTACTGTTAGGGTCAGAGGGTCTGTACTAGACAATAGATAGGTTGTACCATATAATCCTTATATTTTAGCTAAGTATGATTGTCACATTAATGTTGAAATATGTTTTTCTGTTAAAGCAGACAAATATTTATACAAATATGTATACAAAAGGACATGATCGTGTTAATTTTACGGTGAATAAAGAAACTAATGAGCATTATGTTGATGAGATTTCGAATTATCAAACCGCTAGATGGATATCTGCACCGGAAGCTATATGGAGAATTTTTAGTTTTGATTTATTCGACATATCTCCTTCTGTAGTGTCTTTGCAGTTGCATATTGAAAATACTCAGTTGGTTATGCATATGGTTTATCAGAAGTTATAAATAAAGACTCCATCCAACGAACAATGTTAACTGAATTTTTTAGAATGAATGTTTCAAATGAAAAGGCACGAACTTTACTTTATAAGGATTTTCCTACATACTTTGTATGGAATATATATTTTCGAGTTTGGAGTCCTAGAAAAAAGCAAAATGTTATTGGTAGAATAGTTGCTGCTAATCCATCTGAGGATGAGAGATACTTTCTAAAAGTTTTATTGAATCATGTTAAAGGGCCTAAGTCTTTTCAAGATTTAAGAACAGTTAATAACATTGTTGTGCCTACTTATCGCGAAGCTACATTTTTTCATGGTCTAATAGGTGGGAATAATTATTGTGAAATGTGTTTAAATGAGGCTATCACCTATGAAATGCCTATATCATTGCGTCGCCTCTTTCCTAATGTGTTAATTTTTTGTAACCCTGCAAATTCTAGGAATTTATGGGTTAAATTTATAGTGTACATGATAGAAGATATTTTACATGCAAGCATGACAGTAGGTGATGCCGAGATTAGGGTTTTGAGATGTATAAATTCATTCTTGGAAGTTTTTGGTACAAACATAAATGATTTTGGTCTGCTAGATTTTGACGTTATTGTGAATGATGCTGATGTGTTAGCAAACATGATTTTAGAAGAGACTACAAATATTAATGTTCAGTGTGACATGCATTTTACAGAGAATTTAAATAAGGAACAACAATCTGCCCATGATGTTATTTTAGACTGTGTTGTAAATAATAAAAATGGAGTTTTTTTTATTGATGGTCTAGGAGGTATTGGAAAAACTTTTCTGTACAAGGCATTACTTGCTTTAGTACGATCTCGACAACTTATTACATTAGCAACAGCGTCATTGGGAGTGGCTGCTTCTTTATTGCCTGCTGGGTGAACTAGTCATTCACGTTTTAAAAATCCCACTTTAAGCAAGTTCTGATATGCGATGTTCAATAAGTAAACAATCATCACTTGGTCAACTTTTACAAATGACAAAGCTAATTGTGTGGGATGAAGAACCGATGATTAATAGATGTGCTTTTGAAGCTTTGAATAAAATGTTAAAAGATATTGTGAATGTGAATTGCTAATTGGTGGAAAGGTTGTTGTATTTGGAGGAGATTTTAGACAAGTGTTGCCAGTAGTAAAAAAGAGGAACAAAAGATGATATCATGAAGGTCAGTTTAGTTTTTTAAGATTTATGGCAATATTTTACACAACTACCATTGACTGAGAATATGAGAGTTAAATTAGATCATTTGTTATGTGAATATTTACTTAGAATTGGTAATGGAATAGAAAGAGAACATACTTGTCACACGATTAAACTTCCTTCAGATATAATAATAGATTTTGAAAGTGAATTTGAATCATTGAAAAATTAATTGCTATTGTGTTTCTTAATTTTCACGTATATGGTGACAATTTGAATACTAACAGAGTTATTTTGACTCCAAAAAATGAACATGTGGATATAATAAATAATATGTTAGTTAAAGAAATTTCAGGAGAGATATTTATATATTTTAGTTTCGATGAAATAATTGATAAAACAGAAGGATTTATTCATGAGCACTTTGTGAATAGTCTAACTCCAAATGATATCCCTCCACATGAACTTGTACTAAAAAGAAATTGTCATGTTATGTTGTTTAGAAACATTAATCCTTTAGAAGGTTTGTGTAATGAGATTAGACTTATTTGTCGAGAATTTAAACGAAATGTTATTTTAGCCAAAATTGGAATAGGTGAATATCGTGGAAAACAAATATTTTTACCTAGAATTCCATTTATTCCATTTGAAGGAGATAAGTATTCGGTACCATTTAAGAGAACTCAATTTCCCATTCGTCTTTGTTTTGCAATGACCATTAACAAAGCTCAAAGTCAAACTTTAGATTTCGTTGGACTATATTTGTCTGAACCTATTTTCTGGCATGGTCAATTATATGTCGCTTTATCTAGAGTAAGAACAAGAGAAAACATAAAAGTTCTAAGAAAACCAATGGATGAGATAAAATCACACAATTGTTGCATAAAAAATGTAGTCTACCTTGAAATTTTGAATTTGATAATATTACTTAAGAAGTCTATAATTACAAGTTTTGCTTAATTGGACTGCCAATCTATTGTTAGTCTAAAAGAGGATATTTTCTCTGCTAATCCATCTTGTTTCAAGGAGAATAACATTGAGCTATACAAGGTTAGTTATTCTTACATGTTATTATGCGTTTCAATTATGTTTTACATGTTATTATGCGTTTCAATTATGTTTTACTTGTTATTACGAAACATGGTGCATATAAAAGGGTAAGATCATTATCTTTAAACATGTCCTTCATAATATTCCATGTTCAACATATCTTTATTTATTTGGGTCAGTGACAAGATACGAAAAGAAAGGATAAAAAACACAAGTTTATTACATAATATTTCAATCAGTATATTCTGATTATCTACTACAATTAGGACTTACAGGGATGAAGAAAGCATTCGTTATTACAGATATCTACCGCAATCTTTCGTCTATATATACTCATCCTATCCGACGAAACTGATTTAATTGGATATTCCAAAACAAAGCATTATATATATTTGAGCACGAAAATTCCATAATTAGGCCTGTGGAAGAAATAGTTTAGTGTTAGAATAAATGACTAAGTTTAGGAAATTAAATATTCTGCTAAAAAACAAGCCACTTAAATGCGTACTCATTGTTTGCACAGTTTAGGTAAGGTACAATCTCCTGCTCCATTTGTTTATTTCTATGTTTCCTTATATCTCCTCTAGAAGATAAAGTCGTTTTCAATAGTGCTTCCACCACAGTCAATGAAGCTTTTACATGTGCTTTTACTTGATCCGGTGTGTGGACGTTATTACTGCAATAATATATTTGGAATTTTCATTTAGGAATATTGACAAGGAAAAGGTACAAGCTATTGCCCGAATATGAGCACGGAATTAATATATACTTGCATCTCATCCAAGGACAACCAAATATAGGTACTTTGTCATTCACATAACTTTGCAAAAGAGTTCCATCTGGTTCACCTCTGGTGGTTCCCATTCCCGTGTCAATATGCCACATCATGTGACGAACACATTCTACTTCAAATTTGAAATCCATAATTGCATATTCTTTTGAAACAAGCAGACAACCATCATTCATGAGCCGCCTCAATAGTTTTAACTCTAGCTCAATGTTCTGATAAAATAAATAGATATAAATTAGAATATATATATCGACTATGAAATAAAATCTATTGTAATTCATAGACTTTACTTACAGCAATATTTATGTCCCGTGTTTGATCCATTAGAGTTTTCAACATGTCTCTTCCAAAGATATTGTTACTGTCATTATCCAAGTATGCACTGTATGACATAATTTTAATTAATTCCAAATAAATCAAAAGAGAACTTGAAAATTTGAGCTAATACAAGTAAAATTAGATTTATTACCCAGATTGATTCTCCGCTATAAAATTTCTAATTTTTATGTATCTTTGCATAGGATAGTCTTCCAGAGGACGATCTGAAGATGATGAAGATTGTATTTATTTTCCCTTGTTTTTTTCTCTTTTATTGACCTCTTAGAGCTCTCAATTTGTTCAGCTGTTGATATCTCATTTGGTTTATCGCAAGGAACAACACTTGTATCGAGAGGGACATCTTGTTGCATGGAATCTATGATGGTTTCCATGTTTGATTTTCATTCAGATAACGTGTTCAATGTTTCCTGATTTTGTTTATCGACATAGGATCTCGTTGAACTTAAACTGGTATCAATATAAGATTGCATACCCTGGTATTTATTTTCCTGCCACTTCTGTTGCTGTTCGAAAAATTGCCTTTGGTTGTCAAGAATTATCTGATAATGATGTTGCATGTAATCTTCTTACCATTTTTTTTGCTCCTCAAATAACTGTTTTTGGTTTTCAAGAACCACATGGTGGTGAGCTCTTGATTTATCAGCAAATTTTGCTTTAAGTTGCTATATTAACTAGACACGTTTGATGCTATGTGTTGCCTATAGATACCCAACAATTCTTCCATTTTATCTTCACTTAGAGTTGGAGCCACTGGAAACAGAGCTAGACCCAAATACAGGTGAAGATGCAAAAGTACTGGGAATCGTCGTTTCTTGCACATATATATTGTTTGGGATTTGTTCTATTGCATTATCCAATACTCCATTTACAATCTCATCTAATTTACTGTGTCCATCATCCACTAGCAATGAAAGAGTTCCGTACCAAAGACTTTGTAATTCTTCTTCATTAGGCTGTAGCACAGTTATCATTTGAATTTGTATTCAAATTGAAATACCAAAATTGTTTATTTTGAGTTTAATTTTATTTTAAGATAATTGAATGTGAGAGTAATTGTATATTCATAAAAACGTACATTACGAATAGACAAAAAAAGCTTTATCTCTTTTCCAGTTACAAATTGGTTGGGTTTCCACTTGAATATTCTTGGACACTGTGGTTTTTTATGTTTACGATGTCCAAATTTCTTTTCAATCTTTGGAAATGCTTCATATATCCAATACTACAAGATAATTAAAAATAAATATTATATGTATAAAAAAATTTTATGGGATGTACATAATAAGTCAATAAAAGAATAGGGACTAATTACCTGGAATGCGAGTGGATACCCATGTAACGCATACTTGCATTATGTTTGTTCATTCCATTGCATCCTTTACATTCTTTCAGATTGTGATGCTTTCAATGAATATAACAAGATCAAATATGCTTTGCGACCCTATAGATATACAAGGAACTCATCCAGATGCTCAATCATACCAAGAGTTCTATAATCAATTTGTCTTGAAGTGGGTGTCAACACACATTCGACCAACATGACTAAACCAAGTTTCAATTTATCTTCTTCATGTTTGCACGCATGGAATGCTTCATAAAGCATCCTCATATTGATTCGACATGTACCATTAAATTATTGATTTCTAAGACGATCATTTGTATCATTAATGTCCATGGATGGTACATGGCAAGGTAATCCAGTAATAAGACAAAATTCTTGCATACTAAATCTGGCTACACGATCGTCTAACCTTACCCAAATTTCATCATTTTTCCCACAATTCACAAGCCTCAATATAAATTCATGCACCAACCTACTACTAAATTGTACATTTTTTCCTTTGTAGAAAGTTCCATAAAGAAATTCATAAAAATGACTGTACATCAACGAAAGTTGCTCATTTGAATCTAGAAATTGTACAAAGTCTCTAAAATATTCGAAATTTGGATACTGGACAATTGTAGCAGAAAATCATTAATCCGGAGAAATTATGTATTCTAGAGACATCTGCATAAATTATTCCAAAAATCACATCGTATTTATAAATGAATCTAAAAATTAAAAATAGAGAAACTTTTTTTAAGAGTTCCAAATAAATATTATATCTTCATAACTTATACATGCATAAATATTTTAAAATTGATAATAAAATATCTGATGTTCGTGTCTAGACAATTCAAACAATTCATAACATAAAATTCGTGACATAAAATTATGCTTCGCCTCCGTGATTATGGAGACTTGGCCTCCGTAATACGGAGGCTTGCCATGGGCAAACCTCCGTAACACGAAGGCCTCAACAAGGCCTCCGTGATTACGGAGGCAGGCCTCCATCATATGGAGGCCTTGTTGTGGCCTCCGTAATTATGGAGACCCATTATGGAGGCTTGGGTCTCAATAATCACGGAGTTCTTATGGGTAAAATTGTTGCCCATACACAGATCTGTGCAGATATATACAAGTTTCTTTGATTGTAAATTTTTAAGTAAAATTGTTACATTTTTCGGCCAATTTCAGAGCTTTTCCTGTTTAAATCTGCGGGGAGTTTCTCTTGAAAATGTATAGATTTCTGGGACTAAAAATATAATAAATGAGCTTTATACCAACCACAAGATAAAAAGCTATCACATATGAGCTGTATATTATTATTGTTTTATGCATTTGGTCAACAATCAATGAAGTATTTTTGTTGTATTATGAAATACAAACTATTCACACCTTTTATAGAATCTCAAATCTACATCTTTGTTTGAATTCTTTGATTTCATACACAAAATCATACATCAACATATTCACGTGTATTTAGATATTTATTACAATTCAATTTATTTAAGCTAAATAAATAATTGAATCAAAATTTCCTTCCATTACAATAAAGGTTTGTAGTATGAATACTTTTTCCCCGATGAATACAACTTAATTTAATTCAGAGATATTCTTGTACCATGTTTAAACCTTTGCCAGCCCATGTCTATGTTCAGTCATTATGAATCAATAGAGTATGGATATGATAAGATTTTACCATGTAAATTTTGATCTTTTTCCTTTTTTAATCCAAATTTTGACGTCCTTTTATTATATTTATAATAGGGAGAATGAATAAAATATAGCTTTACGTATTTTGTTCTAAGTGTAAATCCTTGAACTCACGTTATTTCTGTACTATCAGTAAATGAATATTACAAGTAATCTCCATATCTCATGCAGACAACAAGTTATGACAGTATATGACTAATAATAAGATTTTACGTAGTACATACTTGTATTACTTTTTATAAAAAAATAAAATTAAGAATAGAAGATAAAGTACGGGAAACCAAATATGATATAATTTTACATGTCTATATATATTTTCTTTTATTTGTCAATTGGATATCTCAAAATCGTTTACAATAAAAATTTTCCTTTTGTGTGTATTTTGCCTCTATTATTCTGTTACGAAGTCGCCACGATGGAAGAACAGTACCAACTTCTACCAGAAATTATTTCCAACAATCAAAAGTAGAAAGTTAAAGTGATTGTAGTTGAAAAACAATCACCAAAGCTTTCGAGACAAGGCAATGGAAGGTACCAGCATTTGATGTTAATGGATACTCAGGTAAATCTTATTCATACATTTTTTCTTCATTTCTTTTTGTTTTTTGTTTTGTTTTTTTCTTAATCTAAGATCACGTATATTACAGTTATTTATATGGTTCCTCATCATTTTTCAGGGTAATACTATTCAGGCTGGCTTATATGATTTCAATATCACTGCTTTTGAGGATCAACTTGTTCTGGGAAAAACTTATACTGTTTCGAAAGCTTATGTGAAGAACAATACGACAAATTACAGATATTCGACTGGCTCTCTACAATGGACAATATCTGGAGAAACTCGCATTGAAGAACTGAATGAAGATAATCTAGAGTTTGTATTTTCAACATATCAATTGACACAGTTTTATGAACTCGAACAATACATGGATACAGATGCTGATTTAAGTAAGACGAAATTTCATAGATATTAAATAATCATATATTGATTCTACAAAATTATAGTTTCCTTCAAATTTGTACTGCTTATGTTCAGAAAAAAGAAAATTTGATGGCTCATTTCAAAGTTGCAGATATACTTGCAGTTGCAGTTGATATGACACCCAAACGATCGATTCAATCCAAAGATGGCAACCAAACTTGGTTGCAAGATATCATACTTCTAGACATGAATTTCAAAACAATAGTGCTTACACTTTGGGATTCATTTGTTGATAGAGAATGCTTACTGATAACAGACATTATTGACAAAAAGCCAGTCATCTTTGCAACCTGTCTAAAGGTTACATCATTCTTTGGTATGTTCTATTGTATTATTTAAACTCCTCTTAAGGCATATATATAACATCCTTTACACATTTTCCATATTGATATTATATAGGTTTAAAATTGTCCACGAAAGTCCGTTCCACTTTTTTAATAAATACACCTTTCAACGCAGTAAAACAAATGACAGAATGGTATGTAAAAAGTGCTATATTTCATTATTCTCTTTTTCCCTTTCGATTATTTTCCACACATTACTATTGAAGTTACTAATTATCTTCATATCTTTTGATTAGAGTAAGAACAAATTCCATTATAATAGATAATTTTGTATTGAAAAAATCATACATGGAGGAAAGCCCCACAAATCTTTCTCCAACCGTGCGAAATAAATTTACTCCTATTCAAAATCTTCGAAGACACCTTCTAGCTGTAATAATAAGGTTACGTATGCTATTCAATCTGTATTTATTTCCTAATATAGAAATATATATTACAAGATATACTCAATCATATTATTTATTTTTCCTTGTAATTTCTCTAAGTATATCCATACGGTAACACCAAAAGTTTTATTGGATAAACGGCATAGCAACAACAGATAAAATTGATAGCAAATCTTGGTACAGGCTTGCAACAACTGTTTTAGACGGTCGAATGTTGATTTTGGAGAAACATGTCTTTGTATTTTTTGTAAGAATCCCAATTTCAAAGCTATTCCTCGGTAAAATACACTAACAATTAATTACTTTTCATTTTTTACTTCATTTGGTGAAGGTAAAATATTTACTTATGCATGACCTTTCTACTTCTCTTTATTACTCTTGCATCTATTAATAATAATTTCTTTTTCACTTTAGGGCTAGAGCATATGTGTAGCTTTCAGATGTCACGGGATCAATTAGTGCAAATGCAATTGGTAAACCAGCTGAGAAACTACTATTTACAACTTCACAGTCTTTGATGGAGGAAATCAAATTTGTAAGAAATCAAACTTATCTCAAACATTTTGCCATTCAGTACATATTTTAGTAGAATAATATTAATACAATTTGAAATTAACACTGGGTTCAAAGACAAATTTCGAAGCAACCATTAAAAAAATGCAGGATACTGAACGAGCTTTCTACTTAAAAGCATCGCAAAATGAACCTAATTCATCAAGTTATAGATTTGATATTAACTCTGTAACAGACTTAGACCATACAAGTCCAGAGAGTCCAGAGACAATAAATCCAAGCAAATATTGATCATACAAGTCATGAACCAAAAATCCAAACAAACGTTAACAGTCAGGTTGTGGTTACAGTAGTTGGGAAAACTGTTGAGAAAAACGTTAGTACAGACTATCAAGAAAATTGATCACCTCCAGTGAAAAAAGCCCTTTTCAAATCTTTCAATGAGAGTTCCAGCTTAAAAGTGGCTTGTGATGAAAACATAAGTTCAGACACAAATCCATTTGCCCACAAAGAAAAATTGGAGTAAATGGTAGTCGAAATATTTTCCGTAAAACCAACATTTTGACAAGAGTGCTATGTGGTTTTGTGAAATTTTTGCTCTTACGTTTTGTGAAATTTGTCTTCATTATAAATTTGATCTTGAAATTCTATTTTGTTAAGTATGTATAATTTCCTGATCAAAAGCTGGCAAACAAAAAAAGTAATGACAAATGATGTATATGTAATTCCTATATCATCCATCTCGAAAACCAGTCATTATTTTGGCTATACTTTGTAATTAACGATGGTAATGAAGTTAATTTTTATTCTCTCTTATCTACCATTGACTGTAATATAAACACATGATTAACTATGATGAATTTACAAATTTACAAATCACAATCAAACATATCAATATGTATACTATTGTTTCGCACGGGTTAGTCGCTAACAATTAAAAAGGGATCAGACGATTGTGTAAGGGACAATCCTCTTGAGACAAAGTCCCAAAAAGGGGTGTTTTTATTGGCGATGACTTTACAATTGAAAAATAAAAATAGAATGCCTTCAAAGGGTGCAAGCACACGAGTTACTGTAAAAGAAGTGTTTAAATCTAAACTAAGAAATTTAAAGTTACATATTCTCTGTTTGAAAGTGTTTGAATCGGGGTCCTTTGCTCTATATCTTTTCTTCCTTTTATACTTCCTGGATGATCTCTTCGTGATCAACCGCTTAAAAACTGCTTGATCGCTCTATAACTGCCTACTTTCCTCGTAGTGGCCAACTTGTTGTGGAACTGCCTTCTCTAACTGCTGTCATTACTTTTGTCGTTCAACCGTCTTCAATTGAATCGTGGAACGTCATAGGACTACCCAATAACTGTTTCATTAACTGCACTTTTGGGTAACCATAACATCTTATATTTGCTAAGATGCTGGGCGACTCGAATGTTTGGACGAGAGCAGGGTCACAGCTCTGGGCGACTGCATGGCAATTCATTCGCTCAAACCTTGGGCGACTTGCATCCTTGGGCGATGGTATTACCGCGTTCATGGGCTTCCTTTTTTGGGCTTTTATCCTGCATTGCCTGATTGGTTCGTTCTTTGGGCTATTTGATTTTTGGGGATCTTCCAATTGGACTTCATTCCTTGGGCTATCCGACTTGGGCTGAACTTTTTGTGTGTCAACAACTATTATCTCAATTATTTGTTGGTTAGTTCCTTGCCAATAATTCCATCTTCAGATATATTTTCAAACATATTCAATACCTACGCTAACCAAATCATAATTCATACACAGCTCGTGCATCGCACGTAACATAGACTAGTATTATTTTACAAAGATTGAAAGAATTGAAGCTTCTAGTCTTCAAATATATTCTAGTTAAAGTCATGTATTTGACAAAATAAATAACTTCTAAACATCATGTATTTGGTATCGAGTGTTGAATCACAAATGCTTGTTTGACCTAATTCTTCAACTTGTCGCCTTAATTGGTTAGGCTTCCTATACAAAGTTTCTACAAATTTAATGCCATCAAAGTTCCTAGCGTTTACAATATCGATATTTGGAGAAAACTCTTGGTAAACTTGGAACGGGGCGATTTCGTTATGTCTTTGGTTTCATTCTGCGGTTCCCATGTATCTTTGGACAAGAAGCTTTTCAAAAGAAAAATGAGGAGAGAACGGAGCGATCTACATCTTACGCCAAACCAATTGTTTGTTTGCAATGGTTTGAACGAATCTGAGAAACGTTTTAGATTTCACTCTTGCCTTTGGTTTACCTCAGTTAGCGGGTAGCCTAGTCGAAGTTCTCAAGATCTTTGGAATTCATTTATTTCTCTTAGGGGTGGCTTGCTTTGGTTTTGGGTAGACCTGGACTGGATACCATTCCTGCTAACGACTTTCAACTTCGCTCTCTGGTGAATGGGTCGAGAGAGATGGGGGGGGGGGGGGGGGGGGGGAAAAACCAAAA